CTATGCCTATTTTATTTTATGGTCCGTGACTTGTCGCGTCATGAAGATGCTCGACGAGAAGCGAGAGATAGTGGTCAGATGAGAAAAAAAATCAATAAACCGAAAGCAATCCGAATCACTGAAAGTTCGGTTTAGTTTATTTCGGTTCGGAATAAATACCCAGCCCTTCTAGTTCTACGGTCTTCCGGAAAAAGGAAGCCGTTAGACAGCAAGCAGTTGACATATCTAACCTAAAAACAACACGCTGTTTTTGATCGGGCCCCAAACTTGAGAGTTGAGACCACCCAACGCAGACAAAAACCCGGCTTAAACCCACCGAGTTCGTCTTCTTTCTTTTCTTCCCCCACTGCGAAAAGAGCTCACTCACAATCTCGCACCCGTTGCGAGCAATTAATCGAGAGAGATTCACGTCGCTGTGCTTGGTAAGATGTTAATTTTACCAAACGAATTAGTTTTCTTTGCTCAATCCTGCTCCATCTCATGGTTTCTCTCTTTGATTTTGATGCATTCAAAGGGTATTTTTTTTTTCCGGTTTTGCTTCTCGTTTTCAAAATTATATTTATCTGCTTCATTTATAGATACCCAGGTTAAGAATTTCGCGAATTACAAGTCGATTAGCGTTAGATTATCATAAGGGAAGCAGAAAGTTATCAACTTTTTTTGTTGGGTTCAATTCTATCCTAAAAAAGATGTCATAGTGAACACAAATTTTGATTTCCCATTGTGTAAACTTATATTTGTTCTTGTCTCTATGAAGTTTTTTTAAACTGAAGTTGTGTTTTTTCTTCTTCATAAATCTCAGTTTGGGGGTAGCTACATTGTAATGAACTGCTTGTCTCATGCACGTTCATACATTTCATTGGGACTGCTTAAGAGATCCAGCTATGTCAGTTCCCACATTCCGTGGAATCAATGCTTCTATATGCCTTCAAAATCCTGTTTAAAGCCTGTAGGTTTGACTGCACTTGGACTGTCTAGGGCTCATTGTTATTCCTCGAGATCAAAGGCTGCTAAAACAAAGATGTCAACCGCTGTTTCTGTCACGGATAAAGAGAAGGACGCCTTTTTCCTTGTTCGGAAAGGTGACGTTATTGGAATTTATAAGGATTTGAGTGATTGTCAAGCTCAAGTTGGATCTTCGGTGAATACATCTTTTGCCTTAGAATCTTTTGTGTATAATACATTTTTCTATAGGATGGGAATATAAACAGTAAGTGCTGTTTTCTTTTAAATTGGCAGGTATTTGATCCTCCGGTTAGTGTTTATAAGGGATACTCGTTGCCTAAAGAGGCAGAGGAATATCTTTCTTCTGTTGGGCTCAAGAAACCACTCTTCAGTTTTAGAGCTTCAGACTTAAAAGAGGATTTGTTTGGCGCTCTCACACCTTGTCTTTTCCAGGTAAGATAATATTGTGGTCTTCACCGTATTTCTCCTTTTTCTTATGAGTTTTCGTGGAGAATATATGCAGCTGCCGTGATTTGTGATGCTGAATTTTGAACTGAGTGGTTATTAACCCGCTACTTAAATATCTTCTTTAGGAGCCAACTTCTTCTAGTGTCGAAGTCTCAGAGATGAAGTCAAAAGATGTAACTAAAGACAGTAGCAAGGTGATTTTTAAGAACATGGGGTTTGGATTTTCTTATACTATCATTTGAAGAAATAGCTGAAAAGTCTAATGATTATAAGATAAAACGATTTTAAGCTCATCGCTTGAATATTCATTTTTTCCAGGATCAACTTTGTTCAGCATCGACGTCAGTTGAAGCTCTTGGAAAGCTCCCTAAGCTGGAGCCATCTGCTGATACATCAGGCGTGAGTTGTGATATGTTTGTATATTCATTATTCATAATTTCAGTGGACTGAATGTGGACTTTATTTGGTCTATTTCTCTTTCCCTCATGTGGTAGATTACTTGCATTGTTGAGTTTGATGGTGCATCAAAGGGAAATCCCGGCCTCGCTGGTGCAGCAGCTGTACTGAAAACTGAGGACGGAAGCGTGGTATGAATCCTTTTGAATCACTGTGTTAAATAAAGAACGCAGTACTGTATAAATAATGTTTTTCTCGAAAACAGATTTGTAAAGTGCGTCAAGGTTTGGGAATTGCCACAAACAATGCAGCAGAGTATCACGCGTTAATCCTAGGATTGAGGCATGCTATTGAGAAAGGTTACAAGAAAATTAAAGTGAAAGGTGACTCCAAGCTGGTCTGTCTGCAGGTTCGTCGATGATATTTATAAATCTTTGTGCAATTAGGTGATTTAACAAATCAGATACACGTTTCTCTTCTCACTTTCTTAATGCATATTGAGAACAACAGATTAAAGGTCAATGGAAGGTAAACCACGAGGTACTTGCGAAGCTCCATAAAGAAGCAAAACAACTTAGCAGCAAATGTATCTCTTTCGAGATCAGTCACGTATTAAGGGTACATT